TATATATATATACATTGTTTTATATTATTTTATATAATTTTGTATTCAATTTTTTAATCTTTTGTTTCTTTATTTTTACACAAATATATAACACAAATAAAATAGAGAGAAAAATAGAGACAAAGAGAGACAGAAAGAATGAACAGCAAAAAAGATATTTAATTGCTATGACTATAATAAAAAGTGTATGGTTCGAGTTACTTATGATGAAAATATTTGTTGTTCGTACGTTTTAATTTAAGATAATAAAGTTAGAAAATAAAAAAAGAGAAAAAATTAATCTTATTCTGAAAAAGTAGATTCTTTTTCTATATGATTCTTCAATAGTATATATTAATGTGTGTGAATAAAAATAATTTAAAGAAAAAAGTTTTTTAATTTGTATAAAGAAATTTTTCATTTAATAGCTTAACATTTGACAAATTATTTCACGATTTAATAATGCGTGAATCGTCTAACGTACAACAACTAGAGAATGCTTCGTAGAACGATGATTAAACTTCAAAACTGTTAAAAGATATTTCAGTTATTACTGATTTATCTACAAAAAAAAGTGGAAGAAAAGAAAATAAAAACAAAAAATAATCTAGGAAAGATAACTGATCAAGAGTGCATGAATAATCTACGAACTATTATTTGCCTGGAGAAAGATCACTCACTTTGTACATTAATTTAATCAACTAAAATTAATAATGATTCATATCTTCATGTTCGACTAACATTCATACAATTATTTCTTGTGAACAAGTTTACGGACTTGTCCGTACCTGTTGATTATCATTTGCTGATTTATCATTAACACCTTTACTTGTAACATCACTTTCATCTTGATGAAATTCCGATTTACTTGATAATGATATTTCTGAGGATCCTTCATTGTTCGATATATTGCTCAAGAGTTGAACACCATCCAAATCTTGGAATGACTTTTCGGAAGATTGTACGGACTGCCTGCATTCTTCATTAATTTTCTCTGAACTCCTAAAATTAATTTTCTCAATAGTATTCTTGTCTTTGATAATATCTTTACTTTGTATTGAATTAACCTGTTTTTTGCATGTCGTGTTTATATTTTCATCAGTTCTACGTATCTTTTTTAGATTCTTACTATCTTCATCGATTGTTTTATCATCAGCCGATCGTTTCATTCCAACTTTTTTATTAATCATCGGGTCATCTTTGTTATCTGAACATTCTACAACTTTTTGAATTTCTTTTACAGTAGGCTCAACATTAGGTTTATTAAGGGATGATGATGTTTGAGATATAGATTCTTTTGTCTGTTTGTTATTAACATCTTGTATCTCAACGTCGATTTTATGATGTTCAATACTTACATCGACATAACACATTTTTGACACTTCCATAGATTGACTGCTGTCATTATTATGACCAGGTGTATCATAACACGGTGTAGCACTAGGCGCATAAACATTTTCTAATTGATCGTATTGATTTATTGATTCCCCACTTTGTTGACTAATTTCTGACATATTGCCTTCTTTATCTTTTGGAAAAAGCTCTCGTTCATATTGTCTGCGTTCTAAATCTTTTTGTTGTTGATCTCTTCTTTCATTTCGTACTTGAGTATTTTCAGAAGACTGATTCGACATTGAAGTATTTACAGTTTCCAAATTCTCCGTGATTTCTATAGTAGAGGCAACTTTGGTGAATAATTGAATAGGTCTTTGGAATCCTTTTGATGGGTGAGGGGGAATAGATACAACTTCGCATTTACTAAAGCCTACTTCGGGAGAAAGTAAATACTGTGTGAAGTTGTTAGGAAAGAATTCGATGCTCTGATAATTTTTATATATTCGTTCCTGAAAAAAACGAACGAATTATTATTTTAATGAATAAAATCAAATACAAGTATATGAAAAACCCTAAAAACAAAAACAAAAATAAAATGAAAATAAAATAAAAATAAAAAGTGCATACCGTGAGATTCTTTTTCCTACCATAACTAGCCCATCCTTGTGGTTCCAATATCAATACACCCCCTGGACGTAATTGGGCATACATACGTTTGAAAGCTCGCTTTAGTCCAGCATCTCCATAATTTAAATGTATCCATTTAGTAATAGATAAACACAAAATTGTATCAAACTGAGGTTGTTCCAAACATAAAAGGGCATCATCTTCTAATACATAATTTCCCTGTAAAAAAATGTTTCAATTATTATTACACATATACATATATATATAATTACTATTATACTATATATATATATAATTATTATTCAAATTAAAAATGAATATTACTTGTACAAAATTAACATTATAAGGAAAACCTCTATGGTTTTTATTTTTAGTAAAACCAGGAATGTCAATAGGTCCATAATTAATTGGCATAGACATAGGAAAAAAGTTTGCATCTGAATCTCTTTGCCCTTCTCCATTGTCCTCATTGCTTGCAGGTGACTGGACGCAGTTCACATAATGTTTAACATTCTTACGTGCAATTTTAATAAGCATTCTGTCAATATCGATACCTGTCACATTTCGTGCTAATAAATCTCTTGCAATTGATAAAGTTATATGTCCAATATTACAGCCTATATCAAGAACATCTTTTCCAAAAAATAGATGTTTACGTTGAACAAATACAGTCAGTCTTGTATCCACAACATGATGTGGATTACGATATCCATAATATTTATTGTAATTACCATACTGGTAACGGGCATCCTTTTCTTTAAAATTTGGTAATGATTGTTGTTTTTTCTTTTTATCTTGGCTAGGACGATGTTGTGGTCGAGGCTTCCATGCACCAGGTTGAGGAATAACAGGACTTACAATTTTATCTTTCACGTCCAGCTTCCTTAATCGTTTATCTTTAGAATCTTCCAATCCTTTTAAACGTAATTTACCTTTATCTTTTTGAGGACTTTCCAATTTACAGTCTTTAACTTGACTTTCTAAAGGAGCATCAGAAACGATATCTTCAGGCAATGAAATAATTCTTTCTGAAACATTGCTACCATTCGATTCAACAGAATTTATAATCTCTGTGTCTTTTATTTCCGTTTCCTGTACTTCTTTTGTATCATCTTTCCCAGAATTAGAAGATGCACGTTTTCGCTTTTTATTACGCCGTTTAGAGCCTTTTTTTGTTGGAGAAATAAGTTGTTTTTCATATTCCTCATTATCATTACAATTGTTTAAATTAAGAGGATCACAAATATTTGGTGGAATTAAAACTTCGATTACTTCTTTTTTGTGCTTAGGCGTTGGTAAGGGACTTGATTTTGGAGTAACCGCATTCATAGCTCTGTTCACTTCTTCATCTTGCATACTATTTAAATTTAACGGATCACATATATTACCGCCTAAGAGAAATTTGGTTGGCGGTATGATAACACCTTCCTTCTTCCTACGTTTATATGGTGGAAAAAATTTGGTGTTATTGGTAAAACTTTGCAACCGCTTCCTTCCAAACTTAAAATGACGACTATCTTCATGCTTGTGCTTCTTATGGGAAGAACTGAAGACTTTTCGAGACTTTTCATTATCTTTCTTATTACTTTGGTTGACCTTCGCAGAACAATCTTCTTGAGTAGTAGTAGACATTGTTCTAACAAAAAAACAAGACAATACAAAATATTACTTAAAAAGTGTTAGAAAAATAATCATCTAGATACCTTAAACACAAATCATTATAAAAGATTTTTAAAAACTTGAAATTAACGTTTGAAATTATAGAATATAAAAAAAGAATCATATATTACAGATATTTTTAATACAAGTAGATAAATCTAAAAAAATAGAAAAATAAAAGTTGTTTATATTTATATATATATAAATAGTATATCTAATTCCGAATTATAGAAAATAAATAAATATATATATACATAAATTATCTTTATTTTATACACTATACAAAGAAATTTAACTGTATTAAATGAAATTGAAAAAACATTTCAATTAATTATTTTACAATAACACAAAATATATATATATATATAAATAACTATTTTAACTTTAACATATAATAATTTATAGGCTTAACGTGATAAGTAAAAAACAAATTTCGTAGTATATACATAAAATTTATCGTTCCCGCGATTGCGCATGCGTATAAGAAATTTGTGCGCACTGTAAACGGAATGATCACTAATACCCGAAGTTTTCGTTCGGCATTTCGCCGCTTTATAATCGTATAAGGTTAATAACTTACCTTTCAATACTTCTTTAATTATTATTAATTGATTTCAGTCGCAATGTCTTCCAGAATCAAATATGAAAATGTTTAGCTGATCGATAATAGACAAAAAGAATAGAGGAAAGCACACCCGACTTAGAACTCCTACTGCTCTGCGCCCATTGACGGTAGAAAATAGCTGCTTCGCTCGCTACGCTCAAACTCCATTTTCTATGCGAATAGCTGATGTGAAGCCGAAGTCACCTTCGGTTACCTTCGGCAACCGAGCCGAATTCAATCATAAAAAAGAGCGACGCGTCACTAACAAAATAGTCATTCTATGATAGTTCAGAAACAACTTAATTTTATGAACTATTATTATTATTTATAAGATTAAATATATATTATATTTTATCGATAAAAAAGAAACAGGTAGATATATACATATACATATATATATACACATATAAATATATATATATACGTATACGTTTTGCATTTTTATTTATGAAATACAAAACTAACGGTCAAAAATCGTTAATGCAGCATTTCTTTTCCCCTAGTTTATATGCCTATATATATATATATATATATATATATATATATAATTTATATAATAAATTTTAAAAATGGAAGCTTATAAAATTAAAATATTGACTATCCTAAATATTTTTATTTGAATTGTATGAAACTTTATTGAAAAATCATATAATCTGACGAAATAATCAAATAATCATACGAAAATGAATTAGATTTTAATGTGATTTAAATAATGAATCAATGATCAAATTTTATCATTAATTGTCCATTTTTATTGGATAATATCATCCTTGTTAGTTACCGTGTGCAATCACGTGCGAACCCCGTATTAAATGTGGCGGGTTTCTCGACATTAAATTATCGACTTTTTTACAAATATGTTATAATAGTATTTTAAAATATCTTAGAGACAGATTATCAAAACTTTTACAAATTGTCAATAAAAAAAAAAAAAAAACAATCAATATAAAATTCAATATTTTTCAATTTATTTAAATTCAATATGAATTTCTTTAATAGTTCTCTACTTAATTATTCTATTGAAGACGTAGAACAGAGTATGGAAAATTTCAATATTAATAGTAAAAGAAATCTTTTTCATTATTATGACGTTACAACTTCACAAACATGGGATAATGAAAACCCTCTTAAACAATGTTCCAATATTTGTACAGAATCATATGTTGCTTCTACCAAAATGGATTTACTAAAGGTATCTCTCTATCTTTCTCTAACTATCAAACATATAAAAGAAAACTTTTCCATAAAAAAAATCTTTTAAATATAATATACTTTTAAACATTGAATATTTATAGTAAGTAAAGAATTTATTTAAACGTTTCTTTTAAATTTTATTCAATTTTTTTCTTATGTTAATATTATATATAACAATAATTAAATTATTTATTAAGAAAAACAATTAATACAATTAAAATGAGATGATATAGATATTGTTTTTATTTTACAATATGATTAAGAAAATGATATTCTTAAAAACAGACAATAATGTTGGAATTAAAAATCCATTACAGACACCAATGATAAAAAAACCTTTATTGATACCTACAGCACCTAAAAAGAAAAACAAGCAATGGAATAGGAATGGATTAAAGCCCAAAAAATTAACTTATAAAAATGAAATCGATGATAGGGATAGTGGTGTTTTTTTAGAAAATAGAAGTTATCGAAATAGTTCTGGATATTCTGAGATATGTAGTACTATAAAGTACAATATATTTCAACAAGAGAATAAAGAAACAGAAAAAATACCTAATACAAAAGGATTAATACAAAATTCCAATATATCATTACAACCTAGAGTCACCAGATCTATGACAAAAAAATTACAATTGTACGATAAAAATAATGAAAATAATATACAAGAAATACAGGGAATAATAGAAACACCTAGAAATATAAGAAGTAGTACAACAAAAGCTATATGTAATAAAAAATCAAGTAATTTTAATAAAAAGAAACCAAACTATAGTGAGGGAAAAGGTATTAACATAAGAAATGATATTAATCATTTACGTATATAACACAGAATATATCAATAATTATAAAAAAAAAAGATAATTACAAAATATATATTTATCTACATATTGTCTTAATTTTTCATAGAAAAGTTAATGTATTGTAAATATTTATATTCCATTAAACAATATAATAGTATTTAACAAAATAAAATTGAAACACATTTAATTCGCTTTGTATCAATGCATAGTGTGATTGTTGGTAATTAAAAACTTGTTAATTGAAAAAAGAAAAATCTTATTGTCTTTTAGAATATAAAATAAATGATTTGGATAACAAAGAAAATGATCACAGTATGCAAATATTGTCTCAATACAATGGCAACGGAACATGGAAGGATATGTTACAATGGTTACAACCACGTCGAGACGTAGGTATGTGGGTAGAATGTTGTAGACAAAATTGTAAAAAATGGAGATATACTACAGATTATCATGATCCGGTAGCTGTACCTGTTAAATGGTACTGCGAAATGAATTCTGGTAAATAAATCTCAATATAAATCTTATATATATATAAATTATAAAATTTGTTAACTAATCGAAATATAATACTACAATTAAAATATTTTATTTTGTAGATGTGAAACTAGCGTCATGTGCTATTCCAGAAGAACCTAAACCCAAAGAAATAGAAAGAGATTTGATAGAAAATAAATATAATGCTGGAAGTATAGTATGGGCAAAAAGAAATACTTACTTATGGTGGCCTGCGATGGTAGATGATTGTCCTATTACATTTAGATATTATGAATTAAAAAAAAATTCTATTATTCCTGTAAGCATAAATATAAACAAATATACAGAAACGCGATTTTTTTTCTTTATAATAAAAATTTTTTTATAAATATGCATAGACATGTGTATCTTGTTCTAAGTTTAAATTGAATACATTATATTAATTGTATGTATATTTGTAATTATAGGTTAAATATCACGTGGTGTTTTTTGATCTGAATGAATTGACACATTCGTGGGTTATATGCAAAAGTATTAAACCATTTTGTATTGACAAGAATAATGTATTTCTTGAAAGGGTATATATATATAAAATATTACAATGAATATAATATATGAATAAATATTAAATTAATAAGAAATTTGATACTATTTATAATTTATATACTTAGAATTCTTTATGTTTACAGGCTTCTAAAATCAAAAAATATAAAAATAAAATAAAAGAAAGTTATGATTTAGCTTGTAGCGCTATTCCTATGACCATTTTGGAAAGATTAAAAAGATTTAGTTTTTTAGCTCTACACGAGTCTGAAATAACATTAACCAATAATGGGAACAAAATCGCTTCTACCAGTAATTACAAAAATAGTGTTACAACAAATGTTAAAATGGTAACACGCAATGATATTAAAAGATCAAATGCAGTATCTATTTCAAATTTATTAAATTTAATAGATGATTTGGATGAAATTATTCCGAGTTCTCAACCAAAACTCGACGCTACCATTCGATCAAAAAAAAAGAAATTAAATAAAAAATAATTAATCCAGTTAAATAATATAAAAATTAATATAATATTTTATGCTATGTGAACACAGAAGTTGTAAATTTTACAAATAGATCTTATATTTTAGTTACTTTAATTCTGGAAAAAGGACAAAAAAATTATATGTACATACGATACATGTAAATTTACTTGAATCCTCGATGATTTTCTAAAGCAATTACTTCTTCGTGTTCCATTTCTATTATCATTAGAAGCATAAATAATACTTTTCAGTTTTATAAGTTTGTATAATACAATACTTAATATTACGTGACTAGCGACAAAACAAAGTAACTATTACATCATAAATTGGAAAGAAATGAATTCATGTAAACAAAACAAAAAATAAAAACCATCATTACTTATTCATATTGTGATTATTAAAAAATTATATTTAATTTTTAATATTTATTAATGATAAGATATTTATTCTTTTTAAAATAGTAAATATTAGGTTAATGCATGAAATGTCGGATTTTTAAGTGAATATATAATACTACATATCTTTTTACAAAAGCTGTTTATTTAATCAAAATATGTTTGATTTGCTTCAGTACACTTTTCCCAGCAAGTCTTCAAAGCATAAATACCTGCTCTTCAAAAAACTATCTTTAGAATCAATAAACTCTGACATTAGACTATCTTCCGTGGATAAAGTGATGGCCTTGGAATATGAACATAAGCCTCATCCCTATCAGGCCACTTATTCATTTTTTTTCACCTTGCTAATTTGAGAAAGATGTCGCAATATCGTTGTATGATCAACTTTCATCCTAATAGCAAGTTCTGTCGAGGATTCAGATAGATTCGCTTCCACCAATGCCTTCAGATCATCATTTTTCACGATTATCCCTATCAAGCCACTTATTCTTTTTTTTCACTTTGCCAATTTGAGAAAGATGCCGCAATATCGTTGTATGGTCAACTTTCATCCTGATAGCAAGTTCCGTCGAGGATGCAGTTGGATTCGCTTCCACCAATGCCTTTAGATCATCATTTTTCACGATTGTTTTGGGTCTTCCTCGCGGTTCGTTTTGTAGTGAAATATCACCAGACCGAAATTTTTTAAACCAACGCTGCACTTTTCTATCGTTAATAGTATTCTCCCCAAACGCCTTGTTTATGTTTCGTGCCGCTTTTGCAGCATTATTACCAAGTTTATACTCATACAATAAAATTACACGAATTTCGGTGGAATTCATATCAAAACAAAATTCAAAACAAATAACAAAAGGGAACACATTTGAAAAAATCTCCTATGTTAAAATGTTAATCTGGCAATGGTCAGTGCGACTGGTGGAGGTAGAAACACAGAAGAACGAACGCTGTATAAAAAAATGTCCCCCAAATGTGGAAGAAATAAAGTTTTAGTCCAGAGTGCGCTGTAGTTGCTAAAGTGAGTCTCGCTTGAGCGCCGGTTTGTGCTCAGGCTTTAAATGTCTTTTAAATCGCCGGCTGTCAATATGTTAAATAAAATCATTTGTACATACCTGAAATTATAAACAGATTTATGTAATTATTGCTTATTAAATTATTTATTTAAAATTTGACGAACAAGCAAACTAATTATTAATTGAAAAAATTTTTAAATAATGGTATACATTTTATATTGCTTATTAATTAATAAATTAATAACAATGAAAAATGACATTTCTTACTCAATGTAAAGTATATAACACATTTATAGTTCTAAATTTATGAAGAAATAGTTCTATATTCAAATCTAATAGTTTTAGTCCCAACAACAGTTAAAACAACATTTTCTAATTGATTGATAAGATTATATAAGTTCTCACTCGGGCGTATGCAATATTCACTTATCAAATCAATGACTCGATCTCTGTCAGATGATTTATCAGCTTTTAAACTTCCCAAGCAATGATCACATTGATCGTCATGCCGCCCTAGTGGCAGAAATAAGTATTAGTTATTTCTTACGTTTTTAGGGGACGGATTTTATTACAAATTGCCTATATCATTCGTTCTCTTGTGTTTCTACCTTTGTCGTACGACTATAAAAGAGATTATGTCAAAAACAAAAGCATAACAAAAACAAGAAAAACGTTTGCATGTAAAAAAACGACATTTCATATGCACCAACCTAATACAAATTTAACAAATAATAAAACACGGCGTAATATTCTTAAATATGGTTTGTCGCGACATCTAGCGAACTAGATAAGTACTATTGTTGTAGTCGATAAAATGTATGTTTAGACGTACGATACATTCATCTTAGAACATTTTCGTTTAAGTTTTTTTTTCTTATATATGTATATATATACATTTTTTATCAAGTCCTATTACATCTATAATATATTACAAAATTGTACGCTATTTTATATATTAGGCAACCTAAAATTCTTAAATGTTTAAACATTAAAATATGTACTTAAATTTTATAGGATCTATAGGTATATCTTTATTAATGAACTTAATACAGAATTAATGTAAAATATCTAGATAAATGATTAATATATAATTACATAATATTAAATAGTGGTAAATTTTGTAATTATTACAAAATTAGGGATGAAAAAAAAATTGGTCAAATATGGAGTAAATTTTGGCTTAAATGGAAATTGTACAAAAATATTCTCTATCAAATGGTATAAAATATGTTAATTTTAATATAATTTAAACATTAAATAAAATTCATATCTCGCTCTTTTATAATGATTTAGAGACGAGAAAATACCTGAATGTGAATAAATATATAAATATTATCATAAATATCGTTATCCAAAATGGAATAGTCGAATCACTTTGACTTTAGCGGGGAAACGAGGAATTTTGTTGAAATAACCGATAGATATCACTTTCGTCGAACTACATAGATACATACCAACGACCCATAATACCCTGAACCACGGCATGTGCCTTTCTATGTCAGCCATTTTGTAGTTTCCTTGAGAAATTGTGTGTTGAGTTGATTCTTCCTCTTGGTAAGAATTTTGTTAAATTGCCAAATGGCGTTAATTACATTTATCCGAATGATATAGATAATAATAATAGAATAGATAAACGAAGAAAAGAAATTTTTATTAGTTTTAACGTGAAATAAGATTTCGTTTTTAGCACACAGAGTGTTCTGTGTGTGATCACGGTATGTACTTACATCCCCGACTATATGAACCAGTAAACGAACCTTTCTAAAAGTATTAAGTGATAAAGATAGATTATATTCGATATTGTTTTACGATTAATAGTGATTTCATTATTGATTTATGATATATAAAAGTGTACTACGCGAATGATTACGATCCGTACATGCTTGCGTGCTCGTTCGCCCGGCCAGCATCTCACTCTATATTTGGCCAGTCGTCTCCAACATATTGCATATCTTGCCTTTTATACATTTTTACTTTTTATTCCGTAACCATTTCCGAAGAGCTATATCAAAAGGATACAATGTGACGTTCGAATCTATACGCATGACAGTAGTATAGAAACTTTCAATAAGAGTTCTGAAATTTTAGCATGTGCTTACCTCTCCTCTACCTTACATTCTCTCTGTCTCTCTCTCTCTCTCTTTCTCCTTCTCTCTTTCTCTTTCATCACTTTACTCTCAATTTGAAATCATTTCGGATTAGTCTTATATTTCTTCTATTCTCATATTTTGTGTAATGTTAAATTTATTGGTAATTAGAAATATATTGTAATAATTAAATATTTTATTAATGGGGGAACATTTTCGAAGTTGACATTTTCCTATACTTTCTATCTTCCTTTCTCTCTCTCTCTCTCTCTCTCTCTCTCTCTCCTTTTCTTTCCCCTCTCTCTCTCTTTCTTCACCTCTCTCCCTTTCTTCACCTCTCTCCCCTCTTCACCCCTCTCTTCTCTACTCCTCTCCTCGCCTTTCCGCTCCGCTCCTCTCCTCTCTTCTCCTCTCCTCTCCTTCACCTCCCTCTTTTCTCGTTTCTCTCTACTATCTGGTCAGTGGCAGTACAATGTATGATGCAGCAGATGTTTAAGCAATTTGTTTTAAATTCATTTATATATTAGTGACAATTGTGTATTATTAATAATGGAAATTTGTTACATATTTTAAATAAGATAGATATTTTCTTTTTTTCGTCATCATTGATAAATATAATAGTATATTTTAATTTTCTTTTTTTTTCTTACTATATTACGATAATGGCATTAATATTGAAGATCTATAGTAACAATTAATATATATATGTTTACTAGTAAAAGTAATAATATTGTAAAAATATTTTATATAATAGTATATGCTTTATATAAATGTTTTATATATCTCCACATGTAAGTTCACTTTTAAGGTTATTTAAACACACAATTACACATACAATTCATATACACATTCTTCACACTCACATACATACATACATATCCAAAGTGTAATTTCTAGTGGAGTTTGTAATTAGAAATCTTTTTTCTTTTGTTGATGATGTAATTATTATTCTTATTATATTGTATTATATGATGTTATTATTATCATTCTTTTATACAATTTCTTTCTTTTTTTTTTCTTTTCTCATATTTTTTTCAATAAAGTTTATATATATATATATATATATATATATACTTTTTCCTATCTTTTTGTATAAATTATGAGATATTTTAAATCTTATGTCATAGTTTCCTTTATCGAGTAAAGTTTTTACTGCAGACATTAAGTAACCTATTCGATTGTATTAAATTGATAAAAAAAAAAGTATATTAATAATGTAAGTATTAAAGAATTAATTTTTGTAGAATCTCATATAATTTTATTAGTTTACACCTATCTAATATTAAAATTGATTTTATTCTGTTTAGGGAACGTGTACATGAATGGGGACATTGGGAAGCTCCCACCAGGGGCGGTTTATTCAACCACCCCTGAAACTTTGGGTCCAGTTACAATTGCTATTGAAGGTAATGAATTTAATTCAGAATATGATATTACGAATAAAACACAAAATGGAAATGAATTAATCCTTGATGCAGGTGTTAATCTATTGGAATCTTCAGCACAGCATAGCATAGGTATTGCAGGTGCAGTAGGATATAATCGTGTAGATGTTGCAACACTAGGTGATGTTTCTACTCCTTCAACCACGATGGCAGATCTGTCTGCTTCTGGTATACCTATGGATCAACTCAAACAGATGCTCTCTTCTCAGCTTGAATATTATTTTTCCAGGTATTTTAATCGTATTTATTTTATAATATAGTAGTATTATAATAATAATAATAAAAAGTCATGTATATCAATACTAATTATTTGTTGATCATATTAAATGACGTAATATATATTGTGATAATGAATTATTATAGAGAGAATTTAGCCAACGATACATATTTATTATCACAAATGGATAATGACCAATATGTACCCATATGGACAGTAGCTAATTTCAATCAAGTAAAGAAGCTAACAAAAGATATAAAACTTATAACAGAAGTGTTAAGAGAGTCTCCAAATGTTCAAGTGGATGAAGAAGGTCAAAAAGTAAGACCTAATCATAAGCGGTGTATTGTCATTCTGCGTGAAATACCTGATAGTACACCATTGGAAGAAGTAAAGGTTAGTTGTATATAATCAATGTCAATTTATTTCTAAAAATTTAAATAATAATTATATTCAATAATCTATAATAATAATTTATAATTTTCTCTTGATCTTTCACACCATACATATAAAATCTTTAGAAAATTAGATTTAATACTACTCTGTGAACTACAATTCTAGAATTTATTCTCTGGTGAAGGATGCCCAAGGTTTATTTCTTGCGAGTTTGCTCATAATAGCTCTTGGTATGTAACATTTGAATCTGACGAGGATGCTCAAAAGGCCTATAGGTTTTTACGTGAAGAAGTTCGAGAATTTCAGGTAAATTTTAATTTTTTTTTATTCCCTCCTCTGTATATAGTTCTATATATTTATTTTTTCTTTTGTTTTATTCTTTCTCTCTCTCTCTCTCTCTTTTTTTTTTTTTTAATATTTGAACAAGAAAAATTTGATTTATGTAACAACAATGCAATAAGTCAAAATTTAACTATCATATGCACTTTTTAATTAGGGAAAGCCAATAATGGCTCGAATCAAAGCCAAACCAATGAATAGGTTACCAATACCTGTTGTTGCTGGGGTAGGTGGCATTAAAAATGGTTACAGAACTCCACCACCTCCACCCGTTTATGATCCAAGTAATTATACGGCTGGACAACAACGCTTCCTATATCCAAACGGTACCACTATACCGCAAACTACTTTGCCACCTTATGCTAATCAGGTTCATGTTTATGTGAGTATAAATAAACATTTACTGTTTAAAGGAGCATAAATAAACGTATGTAAATAACAGTAATATATATCAAAATCTGAATAAGCTATTTTAGTAAATATACATATACTTTATTTTCTTGTATTTTTTTTCTTTACTTTTATTTAGCATCAACCTTTTTACCCTGCTGGAATGATGCCTTGGGGGCCAGCAAGTCCTGCTTATTTCGATATGTCAAGTGTTTTTACAATGAATCGAATTACTCCTCATAGTACATTTAAACCTCATAATACGAAATATAATCCAAGACACAGGTATGAAATTTAAAATAAAATCTTGTAACAGATGTATATATGTAATATTAATCTATTTATGTATAGATATTTATAGGTAATATATTTATATGTTTAACATATAGAAATAAACAAAGAAATGGTCCTGAAAGAAGTTGTCCAATGGACAGTGGAGGTGGAATGGTACCTATGGGCCGTACATCACATCCTCCAATAAGTGGTGGACCAGTCTCTTTGGCAACGCCATCTCCTACCTTTACATCCAATGTACCTACAATAAAATCCACTCCTGTTTCCTGTCAAAGCGGCACAAAGTTCCATTCTTCCCATGCAGGACTATCTAATGCGGAAATACAATATAACAGTAATCCAACGAAAGGGCCACAAGAAAACGATATACAGACGTTGGAAACTGGAGTGCAATTTCCACGTCATCGTATACATCGTCGGACCAAAGATCAAGATACTATTTCCAAGGCAAACAATAATGCTCTACCATCGATCAGGGAGACAACTGTCAACAGTAATAACAACACACAATATAATCGAGGGGTACAGTTTGATTTAGAGGCTTCGGCTTTTCCCCCACTTCCTGGCCTAGACGCCGATCTTACGAAAATCCATAATGCAACTATAGAAACAGTTAATAATGATAGCTCACAGTCACAAAATAGACTGTCGGACGTGGTCAAAGGAACAGCAAAACTCAAAAATAATAAGGAAAAAGATCCTTCAACTAATCATCAACAATTGACAAATAATAGTAGGTCTGCAAGTCCCGGATCGAGCGCTGGTGGACATACTGGTTTATTAGAGGCTAACACTGGTTCTGGAGGTTCGAACACACCTGCCGTAGCTACAGTCTCAAGCTCCAATCAATCTGCTAGCAACACTGATTCCACTGACATCGCCCTCAGCACCATCACCCTTACTCCTCCGTCGTCTCCCGATAAGTGAGTGTGCCTTTATTTATATATATGTGTGTATATGTACGAATTATACGTATGTCTCTATATATGCATAAACAACACATATATATGCATATATAAACAAAAATATTTGATATATATATATATATATATAATATGCATATAATACTCGCACGTATTCGTGTTTACGCGTTAAAACACGGACGCTTCTTTATTTTGATCTTTTTTTTCTTAAGAAAGAAAAAAAATCATTCAATGACACACACTACAGTGCAACTATAAATTGTTGTTACTGATGATCGAGTCATCTTGTGGATTTTGTATGTGTGCACTCATGTGTATGTGTAAGCGCGATCTTAGCACGCAAGTAATGTGCAATCAGTGGGTGGCTATATAGCAACGATACATATACGTCGCATGCGCATTCACACGTGACATAACACATACACGCTCTTCTCATATATAGAAGCAGGCGAGCGCGCGCGCTTGAATAAAGCGATACAAAATTAAGGTGTGCAAAATTGTGTTTGTATGTTGGTTGTTGTTGCTTTAGTTTTTCTGTTATATGGATATAGTTATTATCTTCATTCTTGTTTTCTTTGTATTATATTTGATAATCAAGACATTTCATTGTTTCAACATTATATACTATAACGCGCATTATCTTATTGCTTGGAGGAAGGAATTTACATATTTGCAATTTTTTTTTCTTCATAAGATTCCTGAATTTTAAGAGATCGTAACATAATAATATTACTATTATATTGAATACATTAAATATATATATATATTAGAATATATTAAACAGAGCATGTTAAGACTCAGGTGAATCATTATTAAATTAATTTCTATTCTTTTAAATATATATTGTGGTGGGTTTATATAAACTATATTTGGTAATTTGGTAATTCCAACGTGCCATTCCTTGTTACGACTTTGTTTAAAGGAGTTTGCACAAATTTAATTAATTTTGTCATGGGAACTGCATAATTTTCTTTTCCTTTTTTTTTCTCTCCTTTTTTCCTATTAAATAAAATAATTGCATGCATCAAATATAAAAGGCACATAATTGACATTTTTTTTCCTGAAACTCGGTACAATACAGTATTGTCATAAAATTATTATTCTTAAATATGGTATTATAAACATGTGTTATTAAGTTATTATACAATGGGTATATAACTTTTGTAAAAGTGTGTGAAATACTTAAGTGACGTAAAATGAAATGTGCATATATAATCTGCATGAAAAAAGTATTTACTAGAATTTGGCAAGGCAACTTTATTGTTAATCTTTTTTTTATTTTTTAGATCTCTTACAAATTCTTATAATTTCGTTTATATGAATTCACACATTTCAAGTATTTCCATGTATCTGTATATATGTATTTTTAAATCTTTTATTTACTTTAATGAATCAGCAGAAAGTTACGTAATATATTTTGTTCATATTATTATTTTCTCTTATTTACTATTACCACCACAATTACCATCAACAACATTACCACTGTCATTGTCACTGACACATTCACTGTCACTATCACTGCCACATTCACTGTCACATTCACTGTCACTGTCGCTGCCGCTGGTGCCGGTATTAATAATGATATCATTATTACTATTTGACAATGGTGATAATGATAATGTCGATAATTATAAGAATAAGAATAAAAATAAGAATAATAAGAATAATAATAATGATGATGATGATGGTGGTCGTAGTGGTGGTGGTGGTGATGGTGGTGGTTGTAGTGGTGATGGTGGCGATAGTGATGATGATGATGATGATAATAATTATGATAATTATAATAATAATAGTGATAATGATGACGATGATGATGATGATAATGATGATGGTGATGATGATGATGATATGATGCTGCTGATCATTTATATTATAATGATGATAATGATAATGATAATGTTAATGTTATTATTATTATTAATTATTCACACTAGTGCTGGTGCTAGTGAAAATGTTTAATATTAGTATTATTAACATCATTATATTGTTTTAATTATTTAGTTAAAAGTTAATTTTAAAAAAAGCAATTCTATTACTATCATAGTTTTTAATATAATAATATGTTATATCATTTTTTACACACACATACACACACACACACACGCGATAACATGGAAAAAAAGAATATAATTCTATAGATTTTCATTGTCAGTAAAGGTAAATAAATGTACGTATATTGGTTCGTTAACAATGTGTTGCAATTTTGCACAAACCTGTTCCCTTTTTTTTTTATAAATATGTTGATAATAATAGTAATAATAATTTAGTGCATGGTTTTCTAATTTGTATATCAACTGTTCTCTCTCTTAGTTGTTTATCGTATTTAATATCTATGTATATATATTGTACTTATGCATGCTCAGGTATTGTTCTTTCTTACTGAAATGCACCGCTGACAGATCTATAAAGACTGATGAAATGAATATGATGAATGGTGTGGATGAGGCCATAACTACAAACACCACTGCAGCAGAAGAGTCTGATCCAGTGACCAGGTGCGCTTGTAACATCCCTACTGCCTCACAGAATTCCCAGTTACATACTGGAGTTACATCTGCCTTTCCCTTAGTAAGTATTTTTATTTTGTGTGTTTAGTGGTAATATTCTTCTAATATCTAATCGCTTTTATTATTATTTCCAATTTTATAAGCCACTTTCTCTCTCTCTCTCTCTCTCTCTCTCTCTCTCTCTCTCTCTCTC